GAAGTAAACTGGCAGCATTCATCACCTACTTGGGAGATAGGGCAGGCAAGTCATTTGTCTGAGACAGTTTCCTGGTGGCTAATGATAAAGGCTTAGAGAAGCAAGTGAAGAGGTGTGTGCCTAAGATTGATGTGAATCTTGCTGCAAAATAAGCTTCGTGCGTCAGTTGAGCAAAGAGAGCAGTTTATTCTTTGCTTGCAGATTCCAGACTCTTCAAGGAAAGAAATTACAGACTTGAATGCACTTCTCTTCAGTCAGCCAATAAAGTGACTTTAATTTGTTTTGGCAGCTAAGGGAAAATAGTTTCTTTTCAACAAAATGAGTTGCATATGGGATATGCTTTTGTATCACAACTGTTCTCCTTGCAATAACAGTTGTTATGCTCAACGGTTGGTTATTTAGATAAAGTAGTGGTAGTGTGCTAATGGGTGCATTAAAATATAGTACAGCTTATTTGATTTAATGTTATAAGTTAACAGCAACAACTTCAAACTTAATCTTTTGGGAGCATCTTACCTGAAATCTGAGGGAAATGCAATCTGTTAATTATTATTGCATGAATTCTGCTTTAAAGTGAGACAATAGGTTTAGTTTTGGTTTTGTGGGGGTTTTTTGAGAGAGGCTGGGGAGGAGGCACGGCACTTGTTTTCCCTGTGATGGTTCATTGCAGCAATATAAATCCAAGGGAGATAAACACTTAAGAGAATACGGAAATGAGAAGGTATTCTCTTAGGAGTAAATGTGCACATCTCATATTTCATTACACGTTCAAAAGTTTGGTTGCCAAACTACGATCTTACTGGTTCCTGCTTGAATTTAGAAGCTAGAAGACAGACCTAGATTTGCGGTCTCTAATTGTAGGCTGGAGTCAAAAGTTGCTAGCATTTCTAAAGGGAGTAAAGTTATTCAAAGGACCTTTACCGAAAATATTTGCACAGAGTGCCTCCCCACCAGCATGTCCATTAATGCTCAGACTGAAAAGACTTAAATAAGAAACAGCAGAGAGATTATGGCGTAGAGTTGCCTTCTTGTGGCTGGGGAAAGAAAGTCGTTCACAGCGTACCAGAGACATCTTTGTTCATATGAAGGACTAAATCGGTTTTCTTAAACTGGATTTGAATTTCGTAATTGGCTGTGGGCCTCTCCGACACAGCCTGAGCTATGACGATCCCCTTTAAAAAAACAAACAAACCACAAATGTTTTCCCAGGCCCAAATTGTTTAAACCTTGGCGACGTGTTCAGATCTAAACAGAATACATTTCTATTACCTTTGATGTGATTGCCTTGGAAACGGCAAATCAAATACTGCATTGGTGGACATCGCCAGCCAAGCGCGTGCAACCAATTCAGTCACTTGCCTTTTGACAGCCATAAACTCTCTCTTCGGTACGTGCAGGAGAGTGTTTTGTTTTGGTTTTTTTACTCTCACGAGTTTATTCAGCAATCTCTGGAAGCTGAAAAAAGGAAGAAGCTTATTTTCCTTTTACAGTCTATGAATAAAAGAAATTCAGAGATGGATTTGGTTTTTTCTATTCACCATCTCCTTCAGTTCTTTAGAACTAATGGATGTCATCTTCTAATTGCAAAACAAATTGTGTGTCTAAAACACCAATTTTAAGTTCAGAATATGTCTTGATGCTTTTATTTTTCTGAACTGTGTGGCACATTTTAGTGTTAACAAGTAATTTTGCTGTTGTGGTCACTTAAAACTGAATTTTAATTTTTCTCCGAATGGAACTTAACAAAGTGGTTAACTTCAGCAAGACTAATACACCGTTCCATCATATTGTGATAGAATGTAGAACTGTACATGTTTATTGTTCTGTACAGTTGCTCAGAGTTTGTAGATTTTTTTAAATTCTTTTGGTTAGTAAAATGTACCAAATTCTTAGAAATGTTGCAGTAGAGAGACAATTATCAAAGAATGTGGATTTTCCTTTCTCTGGGGAAATAACTGAAGTACAAATGCAGGCAAAAATTAAATCTACTTTGTATTTAGGGCTTCTGTTAGTAAAGTCAATTTATAAATAAAACAATAGAGTTAAATCAATCTACTGTGCCAGGCCTCTGTATGATAACTAGTATGATAACTAAAAAAAAAAAGTTTTGAATAAATTGCATGTCAACGCTAACTTTATAATCCTTTGCAGTAGGAAATATTGGCCTTTTGTCCTAAAATCCTGTAGTACTAAGAGCTGGGTAACTTGTAGTTCCCATGCGTTTATTTAAATATGTTTAAATGCATTAAAATGATAAAATGCAGAGACGATTCGCTCAGATTTGATTTTTAAAGTACAGGTATTTGGATTTAAACTTCTTGAAAGTGATTTTAATAATTCTCTGTGTGGCTGCCTCCATGGCAGCAATTTGTCCTTTGAAACATACTGTATATCTGCAAGTTATGTGGATTCTTCCATACAGGTGTTTAAAAAAGAGGCGCTTTTATCTTCAGATGCAATTTGTTTAATACGTTGTGAGAAATACTTCGCTGAACAATATCAGAATAAGCTTTTCATTTGGCGAATAGTTACTTGTGTGGGCAAAGCCCAGGAGAGATAATTTTGTGATCTGTGGATCTAGAGAGACTTATTCTTGATTTAGGTAAAGCTTAAAGCCAGAGTTCTGTTGCAAACTGTAGCAGAAGGAAACTTGCTTTCCTCATGATGCTTGGAAAGAGTAATTTTTCTGGATGACTGTTGTGAGTGGGAAGTTAAGGTGGTAAAGTTAGAAACCTTATTTTGTTTTCTACTTGGGTTGCAAATGCCTCATGTGAGGAGGGAGAAGGGATTAAGCTAAATCATCTGTGCACCCTGAGTAATGGATGTTCAGATCTGACAATAAGAATACCTGGACCTATTTGTCTGCGTATTGCTTACTGTGGGTTTTCCCTTTTTCTTCCCAATATATCTCTCTGTCCCTTTTTTTTTTTTGCTTTCATGCAGATCTGGGTGAGGAAAACCAGTGACAGCACAAAGATGAGAATCTATCTGGGACAGCTGCAGCGGGGTGTTTTTGTGATTCGTCGACGATCAGCTGCATGACTGTATGCTCTTCCTTGGTCTTTGGTTTTGTTTTTTTTTTTTCTTTAACCAATAGACAAACCTCTAATGGGGAATGGCAGTCTGTTCACTCATCCTAGTAGAAGAGAACTCTGTCATGACCCCTTACGAGACAGTTTGTGGCTGGCCACATAATCCCCAGTAGTCCTTAAATCTTTAGTGATACCCAAGCACTGCCCTGGACTCTTTCTGGATGTTGCATCAAGCTTCTGTATGCTTTCTTTATATTTTGAGTGACTATTTAAGAAGACTTTGCATCATATTTTTTTCATCGTTGTTTCATGGTGCATAGGTGGGACTCGTGTGTTGAAAACAACGTAACATTTATGTTTTGAATCAGACCAATGGAAGAAGCTTTGTTTGTCAAGACCTAAGGTTATTCATTCTTTTTTGGTTTTGTTTTCCTGCAAGGCTCGGGATATTGGGCAAAAGGAGATTAATCTTGCCAGGTTTCAGCTGCAGCCGAGAGATGCGTCGGTAATACCTGGTATATGACATCGGCTTTATTGGATGAACTGTTTAAAGACTTGAGCGCTGAGGCTTTTTTTTTTAGGGAAGTGTGAACACTTAGAAACTGCTGAAAATCCAGTTGATTTTAATGTAGTTAAGCAGTCACGCGTGGTTAATCAGAAGCTTCCGTTTCTCTTCACATTAAAAAACCCTTCAATGAACAAGCAGAGTATGTCTATTTGCTCAAGTCAATTACCTGAAGTAGGCAGATGAGTATAAACCAAAGGAGTAATAACTGGACTTTGCAGATAGCAAGTCTGTATGAACTATAAGTATGAGTATACTCAAACATGTAGAGAGACAAAAGGTAAATTTCACTTTCTTTACTGATGCTTAGAGTAACAAGTTATGCTGGAATCCTGCTGACAGAAGATGCTGGATCTGTTTGTTGTATCTTCCAAAGAAGCCTGGTACAAAGTAGAAAGCAGCGTTGACATGCTCTTACTGTATAGCTGAAACCTTCATTCCCTAAAATGCCATGCAAATGTTTCCCTTTGAAGGGTATTTTAATTACTGGAGATAACAGCAGGTTTCTACACTTGCCCTCTAATAGCACAAGTGAAAATCTCAAGTAATGCTATTCATGTAGTCCCTTGCAAGATGTTTAAAGATCTGACTCTGGCATTCCTTTATTATTCCCAGTCTTTTGCTGATGGCTGAAACCACCAATACCATGAGTGACTGCATTAGCATGGGCCACACAGTGCACTGGCAATGCTGTCAGATCTTTGCCTTCTGTGCAAAAGAACTTTGTGCTCCTTTTGATTACTGGACAAAAAGTTGTAATTTCTGCCTTTATCAATATCTGTCACTTTGAGGTGTTTTTTGTTTTTGCTTTTGAACTGCCTTCTAGTTCAGCATCAGTCGAGCCTTTCTTTCATATCTGGATAAATGGACTATTTTAAATGACTGTTTCCATTTCTTTTACTTACTGCAGTTGGGTGGCAGTCACATCCCAATAACTGATGTATGTGGGCGTGGTGGTGTTGGGTTGATGATTGGACTTGATGATCTTAAAGGTCTGTTCCAACTGTACCGATTCTGTGATCCTGTGTATGTGGGTCTGGAGTGGAGTGTTATGGCTGAGTTTCTGATGTGTTGCCTTGGTGGCTGATACACCTTACCTATTTTTACTGTGTTTAGAGTTTCAACTGGATCTGGAGCTTTGGTGAGGAAAGGAGAAGGTGTCTGTTTCCCACCCCTCAAAAATGTACCATCTTTGCTGCAGCGTTAGTCAGGTGGAAAGCAGCAGGCTGTATTTTGTCAAGTTAACAGCATACTTAATATAACTTAACATTCTCTGCACGTGTGACAGGTTTTTAATAAGGTGATGATGTACTAAACGGGATTTGTCACTGAGCCTTAAAATGAACATCATAGTTCTTTATAATAAAAAGTGCCAAATAAATAGCAGGATTTATTTCCTACCTATATCATTTTATCAATATATATGTTTCTGGAAATAGCTGGGAACTTTGGTTCAATGTTGGGGAGGTATCTTGCCAACGTGCTAACAGCAGATGATCTCTCTACTGCTGTGCTGTTACCTGTTTTGGGGTAACTTTAAAGGTATTAGTAGAAGTGTGGAAGTGCAGCAGCTCTCTTGGAGCCAGGTGTGGTATAGGTGTACATTGTGTAAGCTTAATTATATAGCTTCAACACTGCATCTTAATCAGAATCAACATCTGGTCACCATCCCTATTCCTTGGCAGAAGTGGGGAAAGAATAGCTGCTCTCACAGCAAAAACCTGTCTTTCCATCAGCTGTGGTCTTACATTGCAGGGGGGTGAGGGGGATGGGATGGGATGGGATGCATTTTTCTAGTTCACACCCTAATCAGAATTTGAATCGTCTTCTGGAAGCAAATACCTGTGGGACTGTTGCACCATTTCCTTCTCTGTAACCCGCCCTGTGGAGACTCAGCTGTGCTGAGAAAGGTTATCATGAGGAGTCATCGTGCGGTGTTGCAGATAATCAAGGAGTTTAACCTTGGACTGCAAATTGTAGTGGTGAAAAACTAACTAAGAAAGAATGAGGACACTGAGCTGTCAGGGTGCGAAGGAAGAAATTTAGATGTGCTGTATTGACTGGGGAGATGGGTTATGTAAGCTGATCCTGACTGAGAGCAGGGCTTCAGCACGGAAGGTGTCAGAATGTGTTCTCAAACTCCTCCTCTACTCTTGCATGCTGATCTTGGATCTCCAGGAAGGATGTATGAGGTTTGTACAACTCCCTTCTGCCAGAGCTGCTTGCCCAGTGCCCCTGGATCAACCTTTTAATTGTAATTTTTGCTTTTGACAGTCCTGAGTGTGGTCTTGTAGCCTTCTGCTCAAATTTAACTGCTACACTGAAGATATTTTGTTTTAAGGCTATTTAAACAAACTACAACTATCCTTAGTTTCTTATCTTAATGAAGTGAAAGTCTTTTCTTGCCTTAGTTGATCACCATAAAAAGTAGATCTGTCTCTAACAAAGTACCTGAATCCTGTTTTTTCAAGCAGGCTGTTCTGTAATAGCCTGTGCCATTTACAAGACTGGAAATTATAAAAATGCAGTGCCTTACTGTGCACTCAGGGAAGCAGTAGATTTTTTTAATCCTAGAAGGGTGCTTAAAATGTGTTGTGGCGAGGATGAGGCATGTGGAGATCAAGAGTATAGACATCAGCTGTAGAAATGAAGATTTCCTGCCACTGGTTGGAAAAATAGAGACAAGTTACTCAAGGATATGGACAAGGTCTTGCTTAAATTCTCAGAGAAAATTGGCTTTTCTGTCTGCTAACATCAGTCTTGAAGACTTCAAACCCTCAGTGAACAGAAGTGGCTTTGCTACAGGTGTGAAAAGATTTAATCCTCACGATGAACAGCATTTAAAGTAAATTTTAAGAAATGGTTTTAACTCCCGGCTATAGTCATTTTAAAGAAAGGTGAACCTTCTGCCAGAAATAGACTTCTATTGAGGGTTAAATTGTATTTGGCTGTTGACTCATATTAAGCATTTTTTTTTCATTACCTTGAGAAATGGACTGTGATGTTGATCAAGTGCAAAATAAAGAAGATTCCTCCCCCAACCTCCAGCCATTAGATGTTCAAATGGACGGGAAGCCAGATCAGTGAACCAACTTCCAGTGGCTTTTTGACGTCATGCTCACTGAAAAAGGGTTTCAAAAGAGGCTTTTTCCTAGGGTGAATGCTACCAAAAGAAATTGTCTTTTTTAGCTCACGTGCTTTGTCTGGAATTTTGTAACAAGGCAAAGTGATTTAATAACAAAAGTCTTGATTGTTTGCAAGTTTTTGTACATTTCTGGGCAACTTATGAAAATAAAGCCTAAAAGAGCAAGAAATTTCTGTGACCCTTGTGAATGACTGAGGTTCTTCCTCTTTCAGAAAAAGAAAGAGGAAGACACCTTTTGGGTTCTTGTTCCACAGAAGTAAATAGCAAATGCTAAACGACTAAGAAAATCTGAATGGGTGTCTAAGGTTTGCTGTTAGCAGTTTTAGTTTGTCCAACTCTAAAACTAAAAAATTCATATGTTTTAAAGTATTTAGAAAACAAAAGAATGGATATTTCCATTGTTCTGTGATTTATTGAAAGCATGTTCTCACTGAAACTTTACAGCTCAGTCAATTAAAGAATTCCGCTATTTTAATGTTACACTGAGTTTGGGAAACACCTTTAACATTTAACATCAGCCCAAACTTTTGGCATGCCAAACCATCTTGCAATACATTAACTACCTATCTCTTTACAATGGAGTCGGTGCTGGTATTTACGTTCCTCCTTTTTATGCAAGAATGCTTTTCTCTAAAATGTGCTCGGTTTCAGTTTAGTTAATAAATGCGTGTAAAGAACTGTTTGGGTTTATATTACTTAACTGAGAGCCAAAAAAGCCCACAAAAGGGTTTGGGGTTTTTTCCCCTCTGATCAGATGTTAAAGAAATAGGTGGAGGGAGAGAGTGACTCGGAGAAACCTTGTACCCTGGGACCAAAATTTAAATAAAATATAGGTGACAAAAGACACAAAATGCAAAATGCTTTCAAGGGTGTGTCTCTAAGCAGGGTGGGTGTCTAAACTCCATGTAAACAAGATGCTGAACAGCAATACAGGAAGAGTTACTTAAACCTTTAGATCTAAAATAGCAATGCTTTGAGTAAAGCCAGTCATTTTTAGGGCTTCGGAACCAAGAGATCTAACCCACTGGAAACGGCTACTGATTTATTTCACCGATTTGAAACCTATCAGTTGCTTTGTATGCCTAAGGTGTCTTTGTAATTTTTCATTTAGTTCTAATTTACATCTACATATTCTGCCCCAAATCTTGAGAGGGAAAAAAAAAAATCCGAATAGTGATGAAACATACATTTTTCATTTCACTTTATTAATGTTCCTTATTTTCACTGAGTTAGGATTCTTTTGATGGTGATGATTACCTGCAGACCTCTGCTATTTTAGTGGATATCCCAGTTAATGAAAGCTAATGATTTTTAGGGAAAATGAATACAAATGTAAATCAGGGTTAAAATCGGTGTCTTAAATCAAGGTTTCTGCTTGATGGTTTAAATCCGGTTTGGAATTGGTGACGAGGAGGTGTCAAAGAGAACAGACTGGTTGCACTGACTGAGCATGGGTTTGGAGAGTGGTTGGCTCAGAACACACGGACTCCGTGTCTGCTTGCCTCATAAAATTAAAAGGTAGGTTGGGTTTTTTTTGTTTGTTTGTTCATTGTTT